TTTCACTATAGGGCGCGTGCGCTCGCCAGACAGACAGAGAGAGACATAGAGACAGAAAGCGAGAAATCACCCCCCAGGGGGTATGGTCACGCCGCAATCCCTTCTCCTCCATTCTCCTCTCGGGATCTTGGGCACGCACGCACACGCGCCTGGCGTGAGTTTTAAGCCACCGGGTCTAGGACGCGAACCGCGGTCGACTATGTGGGAGTCCAGTGACAGCCATTACGCTAACTGCTGGTTCCCCAGATGGATTAAGTTTTCAACACATAGACACTTTTTTTTTTTTTTAAGAGGTTTTCGCTATAGGGCATGTGCGCTCGCCAGACAGAGAGAGACATAGAGATAGAAGGCGAGAAATCACCCCCCAGGGGGGATGGTCACGCCACAGTCCCTTCTCCTCCATTCTCCTCTCAGGATCTTGGGCACACAGGCACACATGCCCGGCGTGAGTTTTAAGCCACCGGGTCCAGGACACGAACCACGGTCGACTACATGGGAGTCCAGCAACATAGCCATTACGCTAACTGCTGGTCCCCCACTTTTTTTTTTTTGAAGAGAGTTTTTTTTTGCTGTAGGGCACGCGCACTCTCCAGAATGACAGAAAGTGAGAAATCACCCCCCAGGTGGATGGCCACACTACAATCCCTTCTCCTGTTCTTAGCCCCCTAAATTTATTTCTTTCTCACATACAAAAACACATTCACTCAGCTATGGTTTGTGTCCTTCAGAAATGCGTATGTTGGGACCAGCAGTTAGCGTAACAGCTATGTCGCTGGATTCCCACGTAGTTGACCACGGTTCACATCCTGGACCCGGTGGCTTAAAACTCACGCCGGGGGCGTGTGTGTGTGGGCCCAAGATCCCGAGAGGAGAATGGAGGAGAAGGGACTGTGGCGTGACCATCCCCCCTGGGGGGTGATTTCTCGCCTTCTATCTCTATGTCTCTCTCTGTCTGGCGAGCGCACCCGCCCTATAGTGAAAACCTCTAAAAAAAAAAAATGCATATATTGAAATTTGGTTGCTATCATAATGGTATAAAAACTTACTTTGACTATGGTATTAAGCAGTGGGGCCTTTGGGAGGTGATTAGGATTAGTCAATAAGGTGGTGGTGGTGGGGGTTCCGTGACTGAATACTGGTGGCTTTAAAAGAAGGAGACATATTAGAGCTTACACACACTCTTGTCAAGATGTCCTTCACCACTTGGGACCAGTCATTAGCGTAATGGCTATGTCGCTGGACTTCCACGTAGTTGACCATGGTTCATGTCCTGGACCTGGTGGCTTAAACTCACGCTGGGCGCGTGTGCGTGCGTGCCCAAGATCCTGAGAGGAGAATGGAGGAGAAGGGATTGCGGCATGGCCATCGCCCCCAGGAGGTGATTTCTCGCTTTCTGTCTCTCTGTCTGTCTGGTGAGCGCATGCGCCCTACAGGAAAAAAAACAAAAGAACAAAAAACAAAACACCTCTCCAAAAAAAAAAAAAAAAGATGTCCTTCACCACCTCAGCATTCTGTGGAGTACCCTTAATAAGAAGGTCCTAACCAGATGTGGCCTCTCAGATGTGGACCTTCTGAACCATGAACTGAATAGACCTCTATTTTCAAATATTTATTTCTTCCATGAGAATGGGAGACAACAAAAGAAAAGACAAGCACTCCTTATGGGGCCTTCATATCACAACCATACTCCCCCTGCCCCAGCAAGCTAGGATCATAGGTACACACGGGCCCAGGATGCACAGGGAGGTGTCAGGATGCAAATCTGAGACCTTCCTATGTGGCCTCGGTGTTGTGGAGTGTTATATTACTGCTATGCTGCTGTGGCTGTCTTAAACCTTATCCTTTATAAATTAGCCAGTCTGTGATAACTCAGTAATAACAGAAAAACTGACTAAAACACATTCCATCCCAGTGGCCTCCAATCCCAACTTATTCTAGCATCAAGTCAAAAGCTCAAAGTCTAGGGGCCAGACACAAGGCCCATCCGCCTTGCTGGGTTGCAGCTGGCTTTGGTTTAGGATCACCACAGTATCTCACCCACTTTTCCTCCTCTGGAGGATTATGAACACTGTTTGGCATTGGACTGAGACTCAGCTGGACTCCCAACAGCTGCAGGATACTTTTAGCCAAATCTGTTTTAGATTTTCTGGACTTTCCAGATGACAATGTAGGCTGCAGACACTATGAGGACTGGTGTATTTCTTAGTCTTATTTCCTTCTGTGTCCCAACACATAAAGTGGTGGTGTGGTTTACTAGGTTGCTCAAACTTGGTAGGCCTCAGATTCTATTTTTTTTGTAACTCTGGCCTTGGGAACTGTAAAAGCACAACTCAAACTGTGAAGTACATCTTCAAAACTGGAAAAAGTCCTCAGGGTAAAACTCCTTAAGCTCATTTTCCCTTTTATTAGATACTGTTAATTTTTTTTTCCTGCCAGACGATGCATGCACTCACCAGAGAGAAAGTGAGAAAACACCTCCCATAGAGAATAGTCATGCTACAATCCCTTCCCCATTTTTCTTCTTTTTGAGGTTTTGGGATGCTCACACATGTACCTGGTTTGTTTCTCAGTTGCTACCTCTGGGAATAGAACTGTGCAGTCGGCCATGTGGGATCAGCTACCTTAACAACCATTGCCACTGGCTGGCCCTAAATTCTTTTTTTTTTTTTTTTTTTTTAAGAGAGAGATTTTGAATAGTATGCGTGTGCTTGCCAAAGAGACAGACAGAAAGGGAGAAATCACCTCCCAGGAGGTATGACCACACTGCAATCCCTCTATTCTCTCGGGATTTTGGGCATGCATGCACATGCGCCTGGCATGAGTTTTAAACCACTGGGTCTGGGACTCAAACCACGGTTGACTAAATGTGAGTCCAGCAACTTAACCATTACGCCATCTGCTGGTCCCCAAAATTACTCTTATAAGTGATTATCTCTTTATACCTCTACCAGTAGCACAATAAACTTCCCATGGTTTTTACATTTTCATTAAATCCTTGGTATTTTTTAGCTTTTAATTATTTTGAACAGTTGCATAAAACTCAACGAATGACCTTTATCCACACTCTCTCAGACTTATCTTCCCAATTCCACATTTCTCAGGGGCTCCAGACTTTCATTGCTTAGCACTGGGGAGGTGCTCATTAAATACGCACTGAATGGTATCACTTCCTTGCTTAAAATCTTTGAATTGCTTTTCTAAGTCTTGAAGTGCCTCTTTTCTGAGAGTCCAGTGATCACTTATTATGATTATTATTTTTTTTTTAGTTTTTGTTATAACATGGGTAAGCTGGCCGGAGAGAGACAGAAAGCGAGGGAGAGTGGCAAAGTGAGAAAGTAATCCCTCAGGTCGATGGCCACACCACAATACCTTCTCCTTCATTCTCTTCTCTGGATTTTGGGCATACATGTATATGCATGTATACGTGGTCAGTCATGTTTCTCAATCCACCAGGTCCAGGACCCAAACAGTGCTATGGCCATGTCGCATCCACCTGCTTTAAAACACTGTCTGTCACTCGCCAACCCAGTTGTTTATTAATTTTTATATTTCCAAAACCCAATACAAATGTGGAGAGTTCATAAGAATATATGCAAGAGAGGGTTAATAAGAGAGTCCAAGATGAGCCTTACTTAAGGAAATAACTAAACCTGCTCAAATTAATAAAAGGACCCAAGAAAAAGCCTGCCCCTTCTCTTCTCCCAGTAAGGTTTTACAAAGGGGAAACAGAAGTTCTGACCCCCCTCTGGTACCACTTCCGCCAATCCCTGCAGCTGTTGTATGCTTTACTTTGCTGAGAAAGACCAGCTCCCCATCCAGACCTTTGCAAAGTTTATCCTTACCCTTTCTGTTGTGATTGAAACTGTAAAAGACCTCTCTGCCATGGCCAGTAGATTGTCCTGGTGATTAAGGCGTTGGATTCTCACATGGCATATACCCCGTTTGCATTCCAGATCCAGTGGCTCGAAAATCCAGCTGGACGTGGGTACGTACCTGCCCAAAATCCCTAGAGAAGAATGGAGGAGTAGGGATTGCAGGGCGGTCAATTTCTCCCTGGTGTGTGTATGTGTGTGTGTGATCTCTCTCTGTCTCTCTCTCTCTCAAGCTCCTCCTGGCAAAAACATAAATAAGAAAAACAAGGACCTCCCTGCCACGAGGCAAGAACCTGCTTAGGTCTCCTTCTCAACATTCTCCAAAAAGATCTAGTAAACCTAACTTCTACTTACATTTTTTTTTTTCTTTTTTGAGAGGTTTTCTTGCTATAGGGTGTGTGCACTCACCAGAAAGACAGTGAGAGACAGAGAGACAGAAAGGGAGAAATCACTCCCCCAGGGGGGATGGCCACACCACAATCCCTTCTTCTCCATCCTCTCTCAGGATCTTGGGCACGCACGCACACAGGCCCGTCGTGAATTCCAGCGACCGGGTCCAGGACTCGAACCGCGGCCGGCTACATGGGGGTTCAGCGACATAGCCATCACGCTAACTGCTGGGGTTCAGCGACATAGCCCACCACGCTAACTGCTGGCCCCTCTACTTAGATTTTTATCTCTGGTAAATTCTTTTACCATACACCAACCCTGCCTCGTCACTGCAACGGGATTTAGAAAATATCTCGCAGATGGCAGGCACCAAGTCAATTTTTCCTGAATTATGAATACCTAACAAAGGATTGGTACCTGTGCGTCGCACACTCACATTTTTGTTATCACAGTTACACACCGAATTACAACTTATTTATTACTTGCCCATGTGGACTGTGAGGTTTGTATTCTCAGCATTCTACATCTGGGTCCGATTGTACATACCAAACCAATACGTTTTTGTCGTTGTTCGAACAGAAAACCGGAACTGAACTCGAACGTTTTTGAAGGAAGGACTACATTTACAGTGATGCAAAAAAGGTCATCCAAGCGGAATGGGCCGGGCGAGGCGCCGTAGCGGAGGTAACGCGCATGCGCGGTGAGCTCGTCTGTGATTGGCTGCGCTGAGGCGGGAGCCTTGAGCGGCTCTGGTGGTGTGGGTGTTGACCCGCTGTTCTTCGTTGGGTGCCGGGCTTCTCAGATCCTCGCTGGTGCGTCTCTGGAGGGGCAGGCTCGGGAGGCTGTGATGACTTGTGGGTTCGTGGCGGGGTAGGGAGATGGGTGACGGCCTTCCAGGGAGAAGGGCGCTGCCGCCGACCCCGGAGCCACCACCCGAAGTGCGACGGCGGTCAGGGGCTGTTGGTTCTGCTGGGCCTGGAGTGGAGGGCGGGAGGTGGGCGTGGTGGGCGTGCGCGTTAATGTGGGACGCCCCCAAAAAGCGGTTCTGCATTGGCGCGGATTGGTGCGCTGACTGCTGTAGCGTTTGCTTCTCTTTCCCGCAAGGCGGATCTGAGCTCCTCCGCTGGGAAACAGCTTCCCTGGTGCAAATGCTGCGTAACAGCTAGAGTCTTCTGTGAGGGATTTTTAACTTCGTCACTGATCAGATCCCCCTCCCATTAAACTCTTTAATTAGTTATTTCAGAGAAAATTTTGTAGGTAGGTTTCTGCTTGTGTGTGTTTGTGTTTGTTTTCCTAAGTCATAGGAGCAACTTCAGGCCTCAGTTGAAATAATTATTTGCCTAACGTTGAAAGTCGAAAAGCGGAAACAGCAGGAAGGTCTGTTGCTTGTTTTTGGTGAAGTTTTATTTAAGTTGTTGCATTCCTAGAAGTTTGGTGGTTGCACACACCCTCTCCTCTTCAAAGCACAAACAATCTTATATATTATGGTCATGATCCTGTATGCCAGGCTACATCCTTCTCTTTTCCTCTCAAGGGACTTTCATCATCTATTTTCGTAGAACCTTATATATTAAACACCCAATAATTGTAGATAGTAAAAGTACAGGTAATACTGAGTACATCAAGCTTTGTTCTAAATGTGCAAGGTATTTAATCCTCTCAGTAGTCCTGTATGTTAGTGATTATGCCCTCTTTTAAAGCTGAGGAAACTGAGACAAAAAGAAGTAAACTGCAAGATTACACGCAAGAAAATGTTTGTACAGATTTACATTCAGGCATTTATTTTTAAGACTGGTTTTTAAAAAACAGTTACTTGTTTTATTGATTATTATTATTTTTTGTAGTTTGACCAGAGAGAGACAGAGAGAGAGAGAGAAAGGAAAAGTGGGAAAGCAAGCCACCAGGTCTGGGACTTGAACTACGGTCAGCCACATGGGGGTCCAGTGCATTAACCACCATGCCACCTACTGGTCCCAACAAGCCTTTTTTTTTTAAGGATTTATTTAATTCTATTTGTTATAACTATTATATTTAAATTTGACCAGAGAGAGAGAGAGAGAGAGAGAGAGACAGAGAAAGGGAAAGCGAGAAAGCAAGCCACTGGGTCTGGGACTCGAACCATGGTCAGCTGTATGGGAATCCAGTGCCATTAATCACCACACCACCTGTTGGCCCCAAGACTATTCTTTTTTTTTTTTTTTTTTAAGAGGTTTTTGCTACAGCATGCATGCACCTCCCAGAAAGACAGAGACAGCGAGAAATCACCCGCCTGGGGGCATGGCCATGCCACAGTCCCTTCTCTATTCTCTTGGGATCTTGGGCATGCATGCACATGCGCCTGGCATGAGTTTAAGCCACTGAGTCCGGGACTCGAATCTGTGATCGACTATATGGGAGTCCAGTGATAAAGCCATTATGCCAACTGTTGGTCCCCTCAAAACTGTTCTTAATTACTACACTGTTGCCAGGTATCTAGGGCTACAGAATGTGTTGTCAGCCTGGTCTTGTCATTTTAGTAGGGAGGCCTACCATGTTACATAAGTCATCGAAGTCACAGCATCACAGCAGTGTGTGTCAAATGGCTTTATTTCTAGGGCCTGAGATAACAGTCCAAATAACACTAATTTAAAAAGTAGTAAGGGGTTGGGGCTGGCAGGTAGCGTGGTGGTTAAGGGCACTGGACTCCTACATGGCCAACCAGGCTTTGAGTCCCAGACCTGGTGATTTGTTTTGTCACTCTGTCCCTCTCTCTCTTTCTCTCACTCTGTCCCTATCTGGTGAAATAGACAGATAGATAGATAGGTGATAGATAGATAGACATAGATAGATAGAGGAAGAGAGAGAGAGAAAGAGAGAGAGAGAGAAAGAAAAAGAAAGTTAAATAAAATACTTAAAAAAAAAATCACAAAAAACGGCAGTAAGGGGTCCAGCACATGACATGGTAGATAAGATACTGGACTTCCGCATGGCTGACTGGGCTTCAAGTCCTGTACCTGGTGACTTGATTTTTCTTTTTCTCTCTCTCTGTTGAGCACATGTACCCTATAGCAACTTAAGTAAATAAATAAATAAAATTAAATAATTCTAAAAAAAGATAAATGCAAATTAATAAGAACTCTGAAGTATTTTTGGGAAAATTTACTGATTTCTGCAGTTTACTTTGTTATGTATTTATTTTTTTTAATTGTCAGTGGTGTGAGTGCTCACTAGTGAGAGAGAAAGAGAAACCACTCCGGTAGGGCATGGTGGTGCCATAATCCTTTTTCCTCCATTTTGTTAAGATTGGGGCCAGCAGTTGGTGTAATGGCTATGTTGCTGGACTCCCATGTAGTCGACAGTGTTTCAAGTTCTGGACCTGTTGGTTTAAACTTACTTTGGGCGCATGTGTGTGTGTGCCCAATATCCCGATAGGAGAATGGATTGTGGCGTGGCCATCCCCCCAAATGGTGATTTCTCGCTTTCTGTCGAGCCCATGCACCCTACAGCAAAAACCTCAAAAAAAAAAAAAAAAAAGATTGTAGGCACTGGGACCAGCAGATGGCGTAATGGTTATGTCACTGGACTCCCGTGTAGATGACTGCGTTTCCCCAGACCCTGCGACTGAAACTCATGCTGGGTGTGTGTGTGTGCATGCCCAAGATCCTGAGAGGAGAATGGAGGAGAAGGGATTGTGGCAGGGCCATCCTCCCTTGGGGTGATTCCTCGCTTTCTGTCTCTGTCTCTGGCGAGCACATGTACACTATAGCAGAAATCTCTTAAACAAAAAAAGGTTCTAGGCACTCACATATGTGCCCAGTGTGTTTTTCAAAACAGGCCAAAATTCAAACTGGTTGTTCTGTGGCATCTGGCTTTTTGTGTATGGCGTTTCACTACACTGCAAAGCTGACCTTTTGCAGTTTACTTTGAAATATATCGGCAAATTAGATGGCTTGATGGAAATTCAGGGTCCTGTTTAAGTAGTAGGGTTAGGAGTCTAGCCAAGGTGCCAGAGTCTGTTTTCTTAACCACTGCTGCACTGCTTCTCATAAGCCTGCATCCTCAAATTCATTTAGAATAAATAGTAGGGGTGAAATATTAAGTCAGGCATGAGAGTAGAAGAGTTTAGGGTAGTGATTCTTGGAATTTAATGCTGAAAGAAATTTTATCTTCTAGTCCATTATTTATGTTACAAATGGAGAAATTGCTTTTTTTTTTTGGAGAGGTTTTTGCTATAGGGCGCGTGTGCTCGCCAGACAGACAGAGAGAGACATAGAGACAGAAAGTGAGAAATCACCCCCCAGGGGAGGATGGTCACGCTGCAATCCCTTCTCCTCCATTCTCCTCTCAGGATCTTGGGCACGCATGCACACGCGCCCGGCGTGAGTTCTAAGCCACCGGGTCCAGGACGCGAACCGCGGTCGACTACGTGGGAGTCCAGCAGCATAGCCATTACGCTAACTGCTGGTTCCCGGTTTTTTAGAAGGTTTAAAGAGCTTGCCCAAAGTTAAGTATCCCTTAAGTAACAGAATTTGAACTGTATATGGGTTTCCTTCATTTCTACTGTTGATACTTAGAGCTGTTGTATTTTTGTAGTATTCCTTTCAACAAAATATCTTTCAAAAATTTCACAGCATTACAGAGAAGTCTGATTAATGTAGAGAATAAGACATACTACATTTCAAGATGTGAACATTATTATTTTTTTGGGGGGGGGGAGAGGTTTTTGCTATAGGGCCTGTGAGCTTGCCTGAAAGGCAGAGAGACAGAAAATAAAAAATCACCCCCCCAGGGGCAATCCGTTCGCCTCAATCCGTTCTCTCAGGATCTGGGGTACACCCCCACACGCCCTGTGTGAGTTTAAGCCCTTGGGTCCAGGACTCGAACTGTGGTCAACTGCATGGGAGACCAGTGACGTAGCTATTACGCCAACTGCTGGTCCCTCATTTTTTTTTTGTTGTTTTCAAGAGAGATTTTTGCTGTAGGACGTGTGTACTTGCTGGAGAGAGACAGAGAGAGAGTGAGAAATCACCCCCCAGAGAGGATGGCCACGCTGCAATCCCTTTTCGTCCATTTTCTTCTTGAGATTTTAGGTACGCATACACACATGCCTGGAGTGTTTCAAGCCTCTAGGTCTGGGACTTAAACCGTGATCAGCCATGTGGGAGTCCAATGCCTTAACCACTGTGCCACCTGCTGGTTCTGTGAACATGTTATTTTAATTAGTATTATTGAGAATTTATTAGTGTAAGTAGACTTCAGCGTTTTATCTGAACTTCCTATTGTTCTATTTTATTTGACTATTAAAAACGTGATCCAGGGCCAGCCAGTGGTTGGGCATCTGAATCCCCATGGCTGACTGTGAGGTTCAAGTCTGAACTTGGTGGCTAGAAAGGCACGCCAGGTGCATGTGTGAGTGTGCCCAGAGTCCTGAGAGGAGGATGGAAGATGTGGCTATCTTCCTGGGGGTTGCTTTGTCGCTTTCTCCAGAAAGTGCATGCTCTATAGCAAATGAAAAAAAAAAAAAAGAAAAAAGAAAAGAAAAATGGATCCAAATGCAGGGTATATTTACCTCTTATCTTGTTGGCGTTAGCTTTTGCCAGTTTTAAAGTGTCAGTTACAGATCCACAGACGTGTAATATGAGGTGACTTCAAAAAGTTCATCGAAAAATAGAATTAGAGTATGAATTTATTTTGGTTTAAATTTTTTTGAAATTCTTACATAGCTTTATACTGTTTATTTTCTAGCATTTGTTTTTTATTTTTTATCTTTCGCTTTAGGGAGTGTGTGCTTGCTGCAGAGAGGGGGAGAAAGAAAATGAGAAATCATCCCTCT